GAAGGCCAAGAAAGCCAAAAAGGAGCAAATCACACTCCTATCAGGGACGTCTCAAAAGGTCTCAGCTATTAGAGATAGCCTTACCCCCGAGGCATACTATTTACCCCTCCCAAGCTCTTTAGTTCTCTATTCAAACACTATCTTACAGCCACTCTCCCAACCACTTGAATGACCCAAATCACTGAATGTGTGAATAACAGCACTGCCACTGCTGAACACCCATGTACCTTCTCATCTATTCTTTCTTCTCTCTCTCCCTTGGTCTCTATCACTCGTGTTGATGATCCATCAGTGGTTGTCCCCACTGGAGGTGAAGCACTCACCACGGGAACTGAGGTCGCTCCTCTCGAGGCGTCTCAAATACTTGTGAAGTCAAAGGTGCCACAAAGCTGAGATATGTGAAGTAAAGGATATGCTGACAGCGGTGCAATCGGAAGTCAGAGCTAACACTGAGTATTGTGAGTTGCTTCATCAAATTTTTAGCTCCTACAACACCCGACCCCAGTCCCTGAACCTGCATTCACTGAATCTGATTGTCATCAACTGGACCGGGTGGCCGCCTTCAATTTACTACAAGCTAAGGCTCTCTATAACTTAGAGCACCAAGTTTAAGACATCTTCTCGAGTCTTAGTGATCTTACCTCGCGTCTTGATGATGACAAAGAGGGGGAGAAAGAAAAGAATGAAAAAATGCCATGGAGAATGCCAGTGTTGTTGCTGTTGATGAAGCCTTTGCTATTATCCCTCATGCAGATGTTATCCCTGCCGCTGAGGATGCCATCACAAGTGATGAAGCTAAAGCTGAGGATGATGTCGTGATAGCTTCGGGTACTCATGAAGACCTTCCCTCTACCTTTGCATTGCAAGATGCTAGTGATGAGGAAGATGATGATGAAAAGGAAGATGAGTATGAAGAACCTCATATCCTTAACGTTGGACAAGACCTTGGAGACGAAAATAATGATGAAGACGATGATGATGACGACTTCACCATTTAGTACCATCCAAGAAAAGATCAGAAGGGAGTCTCCCTTAGGGAACCAGCTTCCCAAGGGGACAGAACCTTAAAGAACCAACACTCCTCCTCCAAGGACAAAGGAGTGGCTGAAGAAAGGAACCTTGCCATTCTCTTCAAGGAAATCGATCCAACGAAGGTAGCTCAATGCTCTAGGTTTGTACCCTTTTCTCCAGAATCTGATCCCTCTACTCTTCTGCTCACTACATCAACAAACACTTGTTGTCCTCCAGATGAAAAAGTAGTTGATATTCCAATATCTAAAGCTAATAAGAACCAAAGGATAATTCAGCTGAAAAGTCAGCTCGACTGAACCTGAGTAAAAAAGCCCTCTTCATACCTTTAGTTGTGGCGAGCTCAACTTCCTCACTAGACAAGTCTATAGTTGTCCAAGCTCTGGCCAAAGGGAAACTCATGAAGAAGGATCTAGACAAAGCTCAAGCCCAACGTTTGCCACAAACTGAACGAGGACATCAATGGGCGTTGACGCTGAAATATCAAGACCTGAAGTGGTGCAAGGAAAAGATCAAGAAAAGGATAAGTCCCCACAAGATCTCAAACGTCACCATTAGCGGACGGATGAAAGATGGTGGACTCCTTATTGTTATGGTCATCTTCAGAGAGTACCAAGATACTGTTACCGAGTACCTTTCTTACCTCGAGCAGTATGGCTTCGATGAATTACTGGAGATTCGACGGGCTATTCAGCGATCAAAGTCAAAGCATAAGCCGTTGATTGAAGACATTCTGAACGATTTATTCAAGAAGGCATCCAAGATCGTCGAAGTCCCTCATCTGCCAAAGAAGCCTCCCTCTAGAAGAAAACACCTTTTAGATCCTGAAGATGGACCATCCTACAAGAACGAACACGAGACTAAATTCACTATGGATGAAATCCTGAAGGTTCGAAAGAAGTTGGATAACTCAAAGTTGAACTTGACACTGCCAGCGAAGGGTCCCTACATATGCAACATTGTGCACGTGAAACCTGAGCATGGAGTTATATTCATTGACTATGACGGGTAATACAGGTTTTCGCGAGTATCCGAGTTCCACCTTTGTCCGATAGATCATTTGGAGTATCTCAGGACTTGGCTAGAAAATGATATATTTGGAGAGGTGATGGATTGCAAGATCATAAAAGAGATGCTGAGACGCAAGAAGCTTGGAGAAGATGTACCTGGTTATATCAACTTCAGTGACTTAGATTAGACGTCCTTTCTATTTTGTAAATCTTATTTTCTTTTCTTTACTTTTAGTGTATCACCTATATCTAATAGGTCTACCGGTACTGATGAAACACTTGTAATATTTTCCATTGTTTAATATTCAATGAAATCACCAGTTCACTGAAAAATTCCCTGAAAAGAGTAAATGGGACAAGTATTTATGAGTTCCAGTACTCTTACATTCACTGATAACTTTCTAGTCAATGAATATGCTTTCAGTTTCAATTATTATTATTTTGTCAAATCTATCCTTGAACTTGTAATCCTGTACAACTTTAAGTAACTTTTCATAAGTAAACTATATTACTGAAAAAGATCTTGAAACAGTTAAAAGGGATAAGTATTTTACTATAACCTTTTTCTTATTGCTGTAACTTAAGCATTTTTCTTTATGTTGCTTTGTCATCATCAAATAGGGGGAGATTGTTGATCCTTTCTCTCAATGATTTGATGATGATCCTTTTATCTATCGAAGTGCACTATTTCTATTATTTTGATTTAACGATCTTCACTGAGTCTGTTCAGTGATCGTTGAACATGTATTGTAATTCATTCAGAGACCGATATACTTCAAGAAGACAAAACTCACACCATAGATCCTTTAGTGATGTCGAAGACAGAAATTGAAGATTAGAGACCAGCAAGTTCGTGATCTGAAATGGTGTTCAGTGATAACAAACTCATCTACAAATGTGTGAAGTCTGCGGAAGATTCAACGAACATTGATGAGACCTTTCAGTATCATTCCAGTGTTCAACGATCAAATGAATCTTGTTGAGCAAGATTGTTTTTGTTTGTCCTTTACACACAAAGGACAAACCCATTTCTTTCTAAATATAGTAGAGTACGGAGCCACTTCTTTGACTCTAAACGTGCTTACCTATTTTATGAAAGAGGACTGCTCATATACAGCCAAAAGGACTGTATACTATAGCGAAGGACAATTTTCCTCTAAAAGCTTGCCACGTGCCCTGTAGCTTCTAAATTGCATTTAATGCAATATGTATAATTAGCTGAGTGGTTCTCCTCTTAGTTGTCATCTTCCTCACTCTAAAACTTATCCAAGAAGTTACTTCTCTCTCTACTCTCTGTCTAAGAGAAAGACCCACTTTAACAAGCGAAAAACACATTTCTTCTTACCTTATTTCTTGTAGCAAATATTTTCTTATTGCTATATGTATTTTGTGTGTATCTTAGACTGTATAGATAGGTTTTGCATCTTATCTCTTCCGTAAACAATCTGTAAAATTTTATTGATCTTCTTTATCAATATATTTTTTTAAAGTGAAAGTTATCGTGTTTGTATTCATCCTTCCCCCAATCTACAAACTGTTATCTATAAACTTTGTAGATTCGTCTAGACCAACAAGTATACAATAACTCTTTAGTATTCATATATCAATATGACATTCATCATAAACATACACACCATTTGTCATGAATATTTATATGTGTTCACATGTATAAACAATTTTTCAGTATTCATATTTCAGTATGATATTCATCATAAATATACAATCTCACTATAACATTCATCATCAATATACATACTATTCGTCATGAGTATACATACTATTCATCATGAATATACATATTGTTTATTATGAATATACATACTATTCATCATGAATATTTATATATGTTCCGTTCGCCACTTTTTTCTCAAGTTTTCTCGCTCCATTCGTGCTCCTCACTAGAGGAGCACTCTGTGCTCTGAGAGAAATATTATAGATATATAAAAAGTAGTAGACCGCTCGCTTTCACTCACGTGTATACAACAACTTTTTAATATTTATATATCATTATGATATTCATCACGAATATACATTTCATTGTAATATTCATCATGAATATACATACTATTCAGCATGAATATTTATGTATGATCATGTGTATATAATTACTCTCTAGTATTTATATTAGTATGATATTTATCATAAATATTAATTTCCACCATAATATTCTTCATGCCATGGAGAAAAGTTGAGAATCCATTCATCCAGTCGATAAATATCATACTAATATACATACTAGAGAGTAATTACATACACATGAATGGATTCATTTCGGTAGAAAATGAAGGTAGTAAATTATGGTTTAACATACATAAACACATACCAAGTCGATGAATGGATTCTCGATTTTTCTCGATCGGTTTCGACAGGTTCTCGTTCGGTCTTGATGGATTCTCGATCGGTCTCGATAGGTGTTGGATTACGACTTTGAAGAACATGGTGTCTTACGACTTTGAAGAAAGTGTTGAAGAAGATAATGTGGAGTTACGAACTTGCTGTATCGAATTGTTGTACGCATTTGAACGTACATAAATACTTATAATAAATATAACACAAAAAAGATAAACAAGAAGTTGAAATTAACTTCATTTTTAACCCTCATCACCTTGATAGATATTTTTAGATAAAAACTCTATTTTATATTAAATATTTTTAGATAAAAACTCTATTTAATATGAGTTATTGAATTAAATAAGATAAAAAGTCGAAATTGGTACCAAACGGTTTTTGGCCTAGCGGTATCGTAGCCTTTGGCTTTCTAGGATGTTAGGGGTTCAAACCTCACCATAGGTGAGGAAGGTGTGTGAATTTATTTATTGTATTTGCCGTATATAAATATTATATACTTAAAAAAATAAAAAAATTCGAGATTGATCCATGAAAATGAAATTTTAAATATATTGTGTGGGGGTTGGGAGGTACCCCACCAGGTCGCTTGTGTTTACTCCACTGGCAATAAAGAAGGGAAACTCATCATATATTATAAAGATGCACACAGATAATGACGGCAAACCAGGAGGCAATATCACTGAAACATACAGTTGATGGGTTTATACCTAACATCTTTGTAGATCCTCCAAATCAGATGGGTGAGCTGAAGCTTTCATGGTGGACCCCTTACAAATTCAAAGTCAAACACACACACATCACTAAGAAAGTCAAACCCCTAAAATGGTGCACTTGATGGTTATCACAATAATCATTTCTAGCCCTTTTCTCTTTCACTAATACTATATGTTATGCATAATTAAACTCAATGGAAAGTTTGTTGTATTCAAACTCTGATGATGTTGTTAGCCTAATTCAATGTCGTTCCTCGAGGATCTAGATTCCTTGGGGCCGCCATGACGACCCACCAATGATGGGTTGTAGCAATACCACCTTGACCAGAAAAGGTAGTTGAAGAAGTTTACAAAGCTCAGACCGGCTAACAACCAATAGAAAAGATCTAGCCTGTCGTTGTTGAGGTCGTTGTTGCTGAGCCATCCGCCATGTCCGGACCTTGAGGTCACCTTGTTCACTAGGGACACCAGGAGAGAACTTAAATAGAATCCAAATGAGTAGGAGCAGTAAGTCATTGCTGTCAAGAAGGATTGCATGCCTTCCAATGATTGTTTATAGAAGAATTCGATTAGACCGACTGCAGTGAACATCTCAGAGACCCCAAAAACAAGAAACTGTGGTGCAATCCAAAAGATTGAGAGGCTGTCTTTGGGATCTTTCAAAACCATTGTTCTTCGCTTGTTCTCGACTACTGCAGCCGAAACCATGGAGAATGTTGCAATGAAGAGGCCGACACCGACCCTTTGTAGAGGAGAGATCCCTGACTGGCGGCCTGTGATTTTGCGTGCAACCGGGACGAAGGCTGTCTCATAGAGTGGGACTAGGAGTACTAGCATGACGTAAGGGATGGATTGGAGGGATGCCGGAGGAATTCGGAAGTTTCCGGCGAGTTTAGTATTCATGGTGCTTCCTTGTTGAACGGAGAATGTTTGGAGTTGTGCTAAGATGGTGTTGAAGATGATGGTGCAAGCGAAAATCGGAACTACTGATATGAGTATCTTCACTTGCTCAACTTGTGACATGGTGCATAACCTCCAAGGGCTTTCGTTGCTTCTAGTACCATCTTGAATCTTAATGCATGCTTTGTCCAAGAATCTGTATCAAAACAAAAATATATCTTTTTAGTTCGTCCGTTAGTTTATTAGCCAACAACTAGCTGATCATAAGTTATTTTTGTCAAATAATATAGCCTAAGTTTCATGAACAAGACCTGAACTTATCGGTATGGAGGAGGCTGGTACCACCATGTGACTCAGTTGAGACATTGTGGTGTAGGACAACAGTACCTTCATTTCCGTGAAGCATCTCTAAACTCGAAGGGCAAACTTGCTTTCTCTTTGTGATTGCAGCCACGAAAACCTGAAGTATAGGGACGAAAACATGACTACAAATGAACACATGAAGCCGAATTAGATGTTATATTGTTTTCATTACTTGAGCAATTGGGGTGAATATACTTCCACAAGTAGGTTTGTTTCTATAACGAGGAGTCCCACAAAGCAAGCATATGAGTCCGACAGCCATGGCAGCAGCCGAAACACCAAACCCGATGTCCATCCCAGATTGTGTTTGCACCCAAACGAGAACAGTTAGCGCTATGAGCTCCCCAATGCAGAACGCAAAATAGGCGCAGTTAAAGTAAGTAGATAGCTTCTTGGAGTCCTTCCTCCTGAACTGGTCAGCTCCAAGAGAGATTATGTTTGGTTTTAAACAACCACTTCCTAAAGCCACCAAATAGACAGCTACAAAGAATATGAACTCATTCAGACCTTGTGCTTCTTCACATTTGTTCACACTCAATGCCATGTTGCATTTTGGTGGTCTCAGTTGGGGAAGATGTGCTTGTATTGATAGTAATATAAATCCCTACACAAAGAAAACAACTTCCTTAAATTGCAAATAATATGGGTATATATATATATATACACTGAGACCACCAGAGAGCTCAATGCCGAAACATGGTATTATGTGTAAGAGACTGTTTTATAAGACTTACAGAGAGCTCAATGAAGCCGAAAAGTAACATGGTACGGAAGCTTCCAAAGTAGGAGTCAGCGAGGAAGCCACCAAGGAGCGAAAGAAGAAAGACCGTGCCCACAAAGTTTGTGACTACGTTGGCGGACTTAGATAAAGGGAAATGCATCTCATTGAACACATACGTGATGAGATTGTTTCCAACAGCAGCAATAGCCATCATTTCAAATGCTTGAAGTCCTGATTAAAAACCATTCACCAACATATATGTTAATTAGTCTTCAAACGCAGACATAAAAACATACATACATACATACATGCACTACAACAACTAAAATCAGTAAGAGAGATCTACCGAGGACAGCAAGAGCTGCAAACATGCCACCATGTTTGCACGGCTTGCAAGGTCTGTATCTCCAATCAACGTAGTCGTCTACGCATGGTTCTTCTTGTTTGCAGTTCTCCCTATTCATCATCTTAATCCTTTACGAATAACCGAAAGAAGTTAGACTTCTTGCACTCAGAGTGAGGACTAAGTGTGGAAGTGTCTTTTGGTTTGCTACTTATAATTATACTGTCCATATATGTTACAAGATAGCATCATTTTTGTTGATCCACAATTGACCAAATAATCCATGGAAGATACAATTTTTAATGCATAAAGGTGTGAGTGATGGTAACCCGATTGAACCAGATTGAACCACGTTAATGAACAGGCTGGTACTATGTTTCTGATACTGCGCCATCTTGACTTCTGGGGGTTGACTTTGCAGTAGTGCCATGATCTGACCCACAATTATCCCATTAAGCATAGACTTCACAACACTCACTCGTCACCTTTAATCATATCCCACACCATTAATATTATACGCCACTTTCCAAAAGTATGATTCAACTTTAGGAAGTCAATTGGGATGAAATCACAAAATTCAAAATAGATTGCCCATTTGGTGTGTATATATATAGAAGAGAGAGAGAAAGAGATAAACGTCATATATCTACAAAAACGACGTTTGTAATAATATTGACACCTTCCTCATAACAAAGAAATGATTATCGAAATAAATGTAGTAATAATTGGCATTTCAATATATAATCTTTCTTGGGTATCTATATATAGGGAGGTTTTGAGAAAAAACCTTAAAAAAGTGAAAAATTGAGGAATGTAACCATTCATTTGTATTATATGCACATCCATACAAGTAATTGAAGTTGTTTTTGATTTTATGCATATGTGTATGTTATGCACATGTCCATACTGGACAAATTGCTTTCAAATTACTTGTATGCCGTGTGCATACTATTCAGATAAACAGTTACTAAGGTCTTTCTCAGTTTTTTTTTTTTTGTTTTTTACGGGTTTTCATTGAACCTGACCCTATCTATATATATTCTCATGATTCTTTATTACAATGATAATTTTGACTTGTTTTAATTGGAACTACCATGATCCGTTGGATGGTTTCTTAAACCATATGTAAAGTACTAAATGTTGTATATTATCTAAAATGGACGAGGTGATATTTTTCAGAATTTACAAACTTCATTAAGTTGTCAACTTTAGATCTTAACATATCGCATTTTGGTCATTAAATGTCTCACTCTATGAATTATAACCAAAAGAGAAGTGGGAAGACAACGGTGTTTAAAAGTCAATTTGTGTATTAATAGTAAGTACAAGCTCGTACGTATTTATTGTTTTCATAACTTTAAAAAGTAGGCCACGTGTCTCGGACATTCATCGTGAATATTGTAGAAAACCTATGCCTATTATTAATGATAAATATGGACACATGAGGTGCCCTCAGTAGGTGGTTCAAGTCACGTTTAAGAAAACTACAAAAAATGAAAAACTGATGAAAACCCCTGGACAGTATGCACATGTGCATACAAGTAGTTTGTAAGCAAATTGTAAAAAATTTGGTCAGTGTGGATAACAAGCACACATGCATAAAAACTAAGAAACGATTTAAGTTACTTGTCTGGACATGTAAATACCGTCGAGAAGGGTGAAGGATTACGTGAGTGTTCCTCAATTTTTCATTATTTTAATGTTTTCCTAAACCATATGTGTGTGTGTGTATATATATATATATATATATATATATATATATATA